GTAAGATAGGTTGCTAACGATACTTCCTTTCCGTTTCAAATCGACAGATTAAAATGTAATGTAGCTTTATTCTAAAGGCAACATGTCTTCTGCTTAATTCTTGACTTTCATAGAAAAAAATCACAGAAAAATTTCTGAATCCAATGCTATTACTCTTTAATTTACCATAGAATAGGATCGATATAGAGACAATTATATTTATTGTTGAAAGGAGAATATGTTATTATTCTTAAATGAAAAAATTTTTAATCTAGAATAAAAATGATCAAGCACATCAGTTTCGCACCAAATATTACATATAGCGCCAACATTATATGATTATAATATCGGATAAAGATTTATACTTTTGAGGTTTTCGGGTATTTTCTTCAAAAGTGCCAAAGGGTTGCGGGTTATCGTCGTGTCGCAAAATTGCTAAAAGCATTAGCAATGGATCACAACATGGCGATAACCTGCAAACGCCTTAGGTAAAGATTTAAAATCTAAACGTAAGAATATATAAAATTAAATTTATTTATGTTATTTCTGTTTCAAGATCATATGAATCAATCTTAATTCAGAGAGAACAATACGAAATATTACGAATTTATCTAAATATTTATCTAAATTTAATAATATTTTTTGGTAAAATTGTAGAAAAGGGGAATATCCGCCGACGATTTTGACCTTGACATATGTTGTCAAGATCACCTTGAGTAACCTCCAATAAATTTTAGCCCTCGCTCGTTATTTGTTAAAAAGTTATTAACAAAAAAAGTTTGAAAAAATAACGTTTTATTTCTGCTATATAATATTAGAAACTGCACCTTTCCTTGCTTACGTAATGACTTTTCACCTAAAACAACTTTTATTCCACCTTCCCCCCCCCCCCCCTGCTTGGAGGAAAGCATTTCCACATGAAGAAACTTTTGAAGTCTTGTTGGAGGTCACTCACGATTTTGAAAATCGCTTCGCGTGGAAGTCGTGCGCCCCTAAAATAGAGAGGGAGGTGGGATTGTTTCGCGTTAAAAAAATTAAACTCTAACCCAATTCATCCATTTTTTGATTGAGAGATGGCCCTCATTTCGCGTGGAAGGTTATAAACTAGTAGAACTTTGCTTCATGAATGTACAACTTTCTACGCGAAAGTAAAAAATGAATTGGATTAGGGTTAGATTTTTTAACGCGAAACGACATAGATTTATAACCTTCCACAAAATGAGGGCCACTTCACACCAAAAAATAGGTTGAGTTAGGATTAAGTTTTTTTTAACGTGAAATGACTTTCACTCCACCATTGGATCCACACGTACACTTTTCAACACAGAATGAGATTCTAGAGGTACAACTTTCGTTATAGCAGAAATGAGATATTATTTAAGAAATTTTTTTGTTAATTACTTTTTAACGAATAGCGAGCGACGGCTAAAACTTGTTTGAGGTTATTCAGAGTGATGACTTTGACAACATATGTCAAGATTAAGATCATCGGCAAATGGTCCCCTTTTTTGCAGTTTTATCTTTTATTTTTATACTGTATAGGATTATGATAAAATTAAGCACACCAAGAATATTTTTTGCCTCGTTACTAGAAATCCTTTTTGAGAGGACAATAATGAGTTTGGGTTCGAAGCAAAAATTTTAAATGATTGAAAACGTTACTAATCTGCGTAATTATTATTATGAACCTGTACAATTATTATTACGAGGTTCTAAATTATAAGTACATGGAAAAAATAGATAGGGTGATTCAGTAAAGTTAAAGCTTACTGCGTTGAACATTTATAAAATGATTTGATAGTTTAACAAAGAAATTATGTTTGTAAGCAATTGTCAGTATGTTACCTAAGTTAATTCTTTGTTATGAAAATTGCTAGTATAACAAGTTCTTTTTAATGCAGTAACAGAATATACGTCATCAGTTATAGCATAGTTTTATTAAAAATTTTGATCTATATAATGATTTTCATAGAAAGTTATTTTTGTTGTATTAATTTGCTGTTTAATAATTTATTGTTATCACATTATAACAAATATAATTAATCTATAATCGCTAATTTTATTCTACTTCTACAACTTTATTACTTTTATAGAAAACTGTCTGTATTACGGCTGTAGATTTGCTAAATCAATGAAGTTTTTAGTTGTTTTAACAAATATTTTTTCTCATGTAAAAAACTTTGAACCTTCTTCTATCGCCAGAAATTTACTTGCATTCTTCAAACAGAATGTTTTTAGAACATATTAGATATGTCTTTCATTGTTTTTATATAAATGTAGTAGGATTAATTGATTTAATGTTATTATGTTTCATATTTGAATTATGGCAAATACAAAAGTTAAATAATAATCAAATATAAAGGTGAAAGAAAAGGGAAGATAACATGATAAATGTATTCCAAAATGGAAAGATGAAGTTAAATCAAGAAGACCAACCGTCTTAAATCAGGAAGGACAATTTTAAATTTTAACTTTTTGTCTTACTTTATGACGCGTCCCAAATTTTATCTCAAATTAAGGATATAATTATGAATCCTTTTTTTAAGTGTGAAAATAATAAGTGTGAAATAAAATAAGTGAAATAACAAATATAAAATATAATTTTTAGCTAACGTGTGCAGAATTTTATGATTTTCTATTCCAAAACTCAGATATTATTCATAAAATATATTCAGCAGAAAAGTCGAATTAAAAAAAAATAAAATGTGATCTCATATGATATGCATTAAATGTTATTAATTATTTGTACACTTAATAATATAATATTGTTCATATATTTCATTAATAGTTATAAAAAATGGTTATCTATTAAAATTTAATTACAACAATTGAATTTTTTATAATGTTTCTCTTTTCCTCTGTAATAAATTGATTAACTTAAACGCATGTTTGCATTTCTAATCATTAGTGGGACAAGTATCTCGTTTGCACATACTGAAAATAAATTCAATTATATCGCCGCGCCGGTTAAGTTGGCGAAGAAACTGAAATTCAAATTCTACGCGGCAGTAACAAAATTTCCGCTTACGCATCGGAACGATTATTAAATTTGCGAACGCACATTGCTATACGAGCACTACACGCTCGCTCGTGCAAAATAGGCCACGCGTTTTCCGCAGGGGTTAACGTCGAGCTCCACAACGATGATTGCGAAAGTCCGACTACGAGAACTGGCTGCCATACGCCTCCGTCGTCGACGAGTCCTCAGCTCCCTCGGGCGCGCTGCTCGACGTTGTGAGACGAGGCGAAGCGAGGCGAGGCGAGTCCGGCGCATTCCCTCATTCCCTTTCGCTCTCCCTCTGAGTTTATTACAGGATACGGGAGTGGATAACTTAATGGAAAACTGCGAATTACAAAGCGTCTCAGCGCCGATATTCCACCTCGTCTCTCTCTTCGCCTCGCTTCGTCTCGCAGGCAAGAGGAACACTTCATCCGAGCTCTCTTCATTTACGTGAAACACCGGCACTTGTACATCTTTTATCCGCCGTGCAACCAACTGTATCTCAACGATAGCGGCTGTTGCAGCCTGGTCTTGATGCTGCAGTTCGCGTCGCAAGGAGACCGAAACTACGACCGACGATGATTCTTAATAAATCCTTTGAGCGGAAAACAACTCTCTCTTTTATAGTCTGTTTATTATCCGTTTTCTTTCGTGTGACTGTCAGACGCGATAGCAAAAATGAATTTAGAAGAGATCTTTTTTTCATTTCTTTTTTCATTCTCCTAATCTCTTTTTTTCATACC